TCCCTGACAGCTGACAGCCAACCTCAGGCTCCCTGACAGCTGGCAGCCAACCCCAGGCTCCCTGACAGCTGGCAGCCAACCCCAGGCTCCCTGACAGCTGGCAGCCAACCCCAGGCTCCCTGACAGCTGGCAGCCAACCTCAGGCTCCCTGACAGCTGGCAGCCAACCTCAGGCTCCCTGACAGCTGGCAGCCAACCTCAGGCTCCCTGACAGCTGGCAGCCAACCTCAGGCTCCCTGACAGCTGGCAGCCAACCTCAGGCTCCCTGACAGCTGACAGCCAACCTCAGGCTCCCTGACAGCTGGCAGCCAACCCCAGGCTCCCTGACAGCTGGCAGCCAACCCCAGGCTCCCTGACAGCTGACAGCCAACCTCAGGCTCCCTGACAGCCAACCTCAGGCTCCCTGACAGCTGGCAGCCAACCCCAGGCTCCCTGACAGCTGGCAGCCAACCCCAGGCTCCCTGACAGCTGGCAGCCAACCTCAGGCTCCCTGACAGCTGGCAGCCAACCCCAGGCTCCCTGACAGCTGGCAGCCAACCCCAGGCTCCCTGACAGCTCCCTGACAGCTGGCAGCCAACCTCAGGCTCCCTGACAGCTGGCAGCCAACCTCAGGCTCCCTGACAGCTGGCAGCCAACCTCAGGCTCCCTGACAGCTGGCAGCCAACCCCAGGCTCCCTGACAGCTGGCAGCCAACCCCAGGCTCCCTGACAGCTGGCAGCCAACCCCAGGCTCCCTGACAGCTGGCAGCCAACCCCAGGCTCCCTGACAGCTGGCAGCCAACCTCAGGCTCCCTGACAGCTGGCAGCCAACCTCAGGCTCAGGCTCCCTGACAGCTGGCAGCCAACCTCAGGCTCCCTGACAGCTGGCAGCCAACCTCAGGCTCCCTGACAGCTGGCAGCCAACCCCAGGCTCCCTGACAGCTGGCAGCCAACCCCAGGCTCCCTGACAGCTGGCAGCCAACCTCAGGCTCCCTGACAGCTGGCAGCTCCCTGACAGCTGGCAGCCACCCCAGGCTCCCTGACAGCTGGCAGCCAACCTCAGGCTCCCTGACAGCTGGCAGCCAACCTCAGGCTCCCTGACAGCTGGCAGCCAACCCCAGGCTCCCTGACAGCTGGCAGCCAACCTCAGGCTCCCTGACAGCTGGCAGCCAACCCCAGGCTCCCTGACAGCAGCTGACAGCCAACCTCAGGCTCCCTGACAGCTGGCAGCCAACCCCAGGCTCCCTGACAGCTGGCAGCCAACCTCAGGCTCCCTGACAGCTGGCAGCCAACCTCAGGCTCCCTGACAGCTGGCAGCCAACCCCAGGCTCCCTGACAGCTGGCAGCCAACCTCAGGCTCCCTGACAGCTGACAGCAGCCAACCCCAGGCTCCCTGACAGCCAGCCAACCTCAGGCTCCCTGACAGCTGGCAGCCAACCTCAGGCTCCCTGACAGCTGGCAGCCAACCTCAGGCTCCCTGACAGCTGGCAGCCAACCTCAGGCTCCCTGACAGCTGGCAGCCAACCCCAGGCTCCCTGACAGCTGGCAGCCAACCTCAGGCTCCCTGACAGCTGGCAGCCAACCTCAGGCTCCCTGACAGCTGGCAGCCAACCTCAGGCTCCCTGACAGCTGGCAGCCAACCTCAGGCTCCCTGACAGCTGGCAGCCAACCTCAGGCTCCCTGACAGCTGGCAGCCAACCTCAGGCTCCCTGACAGCTGGCAGCCAACCCCAGGCTCCCTGACAGCTGGCAGCCAACCCCAGGCTCCCTGACAGCTGGCAGCCAACCTCAGGCTCCCTGACAGCTGGCAGCCAACCTCAGGCTCCCTGACAGCTGGCAGCCAACCTCAGGCTCCCTGACAGCTGGCAGCCAACCTCAGGCTCCCTGACAGCTGGCAGCCAACCCCAGGCTCCCTGACAGCTGGCAGCCAACCCCAGGCTCCCTGACAGCTGGCAGCCAACCTCAGGCTCCCTGACAGCTGGCAGCCAACCTCAGGCTCCCTGACAGCTGGCAGCCAACCCCAGGCTCCCTGACAGCTGGCAGCCAACCCCAGGCTCCCTGACAGCTGGCAGCCAACCTCAGGCTCCCTGACAGCTGGCAGCCAACCTCAGGCTCCCTGACAGCTGGCAGCCAACCCCAGGCTCCCTGACAGCTGGCAGCCAACCCCAGGCTCCCTGACAGCTGGCAGCCAACCCCAGGCTCCCTGACAGCTGGCAGCCAGCCAGGCTCCCTGACAGCTGACAGCCAACCTCAGGCTCCCTGACAGCTGGCAGCCAACCCCAGGCTCCCTGACAGCTGGCAGCCAACCCCAGGCTCCCTGACAGCTGACAGCCAACCTCAGGCTCCCTGACAGCTGGCAGCCAACCCCAGGCTCCCTGACAGCTGACAGCCAACCTCAGGCTCCCTGACAGCTGGCAGCCAACCTCAGGCTCCCTGACAGCTGGCAGCCAACCTCAGGCTCCCTGACAGCTGACAGCCAACCTCAGGCTCCCTGACAGCTGGCAGCCAACCCCAGGCTCCCTGACAGCTGGCAGCCAACCCCAGGCTCCCTGACAGCTGGCAGCCAACCCCAGGCTCCCTGACAGCTGGCAGCCAACCTCAGGCTCCCTGACAGCTGGCAGCCAACCCCAGGCTCCCTGACAGCTGGCAGCCAACCCCAGGCTCCCTGACAGCTGGCAGCCAACCCCAGGCTCCCTGACAGCTGACAGCCAACCCCAGGCTCCCTGACAGCTGACAGCCAACCTCAGGCTCCCTGACAGCTGGCAGCCAACCCCAGGCTCCCTGACAGCTGGCAGCCAACCCCAGGCTCCCTGACAGCTGACAGCCAACCAGCCAACCAGGCTCCCTGACAGCTGACAGCCAACCCCAGGCTCCCTGACAGCTGGCAGCCAACCTCAGGCTCCCTGACAGCTGGCAGCCAACCCCAGGCTCCCTGACAGCTGGCAGCCAACCCCAGGCTCCCTGACAGCTGGCAGCCAACCTCAGGCTCCCTGACAGCTGGCAGCCAACCCAGGCTCCCTGAGGCTCCCTGACAGCTGGCAGCCAACCTCAGGCTCCCTGACAGCTGGCAGCCACCTCAGGCTCCCTGACAGCTGGCAGCCATCCCCAGGCTCCCTGACAGCTGGCAGCCAACCCCAGGCTCCCTGACAGCTGACAGCCAACCTCAGGCTCCCTGACAGCCAACCTCAGGCTCCCTGACAGCTGGCAGCCAACCCCAGGCTCCCTGACAGCTGACAGCCAACCTCAGGCTCCCTGACAGCTGGCAGCCAACCTCAGGCTCCCTGACAGCTGGCAGCCAACCTCAGGCTCCCTGACAGCTGACAGCCAACCTCAGGCTCCCTGACAGCTGGCAGCCAACCCCAGGCTCCCTGACAGCTGGCAGCCAACCCCAGGCTCCCTGACAGCTGACAGCCAACCTCAGGCTCCCTGACAGCTGGCAGCCAACCTCAGGCTCCCTGACAGCTGGCAGCCAACCTCAGGCTCCCTGACAGCTGGCAGCCAACCTCAGGCTCCCTGACAGCTGGCAGCCAACCCCAGGCTCCCTGACAGCCAACCCCAGGCTCCCTGACAGCTGGCAGCCAACCTCAGGCTCCCTGACAGCTGACAGCCAACCTCAGGCTCCCTGACAGCTGGCAGCCATCCCCAGGCTCCCTGACAGCTGGCAGCCAACCCCAGGCTCCCTGACAGCTGACAGCCAACCTCAGGCTCCCTGACAGCCAACCCCAGGCTCCCTGACAGCTGACAGCCAACCTCAGGCTCCCTGACAGCTGGCAGCCAACCTCAGGCTCCCTGACAGCTGGCAGCCAACCTCAGGCTCCCTGACAGCTGACAGCCAACCTCAGGCTCCCTGACAGCTGGCAGCCAACCCCAGGCTCCCTGACAGCTGGCAGCCAACCCCAGGCTCCCTGACAGCTGACAGCCAACCTCAGGCTCCCTGACAGCTGGCAGCCAACCTCAGGCTCCCTGACAGCTGGCAGCCAACCCCAGGCTCCCTGACAGCTGGCAGCCAACCTCAGGCTCCCTGACAGCTGGCAGCCAACCCCAGGCTCCCTGACAGCCAACCCCAGGCTCCCTGACAGCTGACAGCCAACCTCAGGCTCCCTGACAGCTGGCAGCCAACCCCAGGCTCCCTGACAGCTGGCAGCCAACCCCAGGCTCCCTGACAGCCAACCCCAGGCTCCCTGACAGCTGGCAGCCAACCCCAGGCTCCCTGACAGCTGGCAGCCAACCTCAGGCTCCCTGACAGCTAACTTCAGGCTCCCGTGAGAGCTGACAGCCATCCTCAGGCTCCTTGACAGATTCCTTGACAGTTCTAAATTCTACCACCAGTGGACTTCATACCTTAATAACAATCAGAATCTTCCTTACACCACTACACATAAATCTTACTTTTCAATCTGACATGCAAAGGCGTTTCCCTTAATATCACACAAATGTTGTAAATTAGTAAACATTAAGATTAAATAAAGTTCTTTTTTTTCCTGAGGATATGTTAATAAAAGTGTATGACTAGTACATCAAAACTGTCCTCCAGAAGAGCTCAAAATTCATCCTTTAATCTCACCTAGAGCGTGAACGAGATCCTGAAGATGATCTCGAGTATGGGTCGCCGAGACGAGTCATCGAGCATAAAATTCAGTACAAAATTGATCCTTTAATCTCACCTAGAGCGTGAACGAGACCTAGATCTCGATCTTGAAGAAGATCTCAAGTGCGATCTGCGAGGTCGCCGAGACGAGTCGTTGAGCATAAAATTCAGTACAAAATTGATCCTTTAATCTCACCTAGAGCGTGAACGAGACCTAGATCTCGATCTTGAAGAAGATCTCGAGTGCGATCTGCGAGGTCGCCGAGACGAGTCGTTGAGCATAAAATTCAGTACAAAATTGATCCTTTAATCTCACCTAGAGCGTGAACGAGACCTAGATCTCGATCTTGAAGAAGATCTCAAGTGCGATCTGCGAGGTCGCCGAGACGAGTCGTTGAGCATAAAATTCAGTACAAAATTGATCCTTTAATCTCACCTAGAGCGTGAACGAGACCTAGATCTCGATCTTGAAGAAGATCTCGAGTGCGATCTGCGAGGTCGCCGAGACGAGTCGTTGAGCAGATGAATACGTCGCCCGTGCAGCTCCTTGCCATCCAGCTTGTTGATGGCACCCTTCATATCAGCATAAGTGGCAAACTCAACAACTCTGCAGAAACAAACAATGCTAATTATGGTTTGAAAATAACATTAGACCACCTAATTAACTCCCTCAAGCATCTAAGAACACTTATCAACTCCCGTTGACCAGACCACACGCTAGAAAGTGAAGGGACGACGACGTTTCAGTCCAGGACGAACCGAAACGTCGGCGTCCCTTCACTTTCTAGTGTGTGGTCTGGTCAACATATTTCAGCCACGTTATTGTGACTCCACTTCTGTATAAACTCAAGACTAGTGCTTTGGATTAGTCTCTAAAGGTCACGTTCACATTTCTAAAACTGTGTGTGTGTGTGTGTGTGTGTGTGTGTGTGTGTGTAATTACCTAAGTGTAATTACCTAAGTGTAGTTACAGGATGAGAGCTACGCTCGTGGTGTCCCGTCTTCCCAGCACTCTTTGTCATATAACGCTTTGAAACTACTGACGGTCTTGGCCTCCACCACCTTCTCACTTAACTTGTTCCAACCGTCTACCACTCTATTTGCGAAGGTGAATTTTCTTATATTTCTTCGGCATCTGTGTTTAGCTAGTTTAAATCTATGACCTCTTGTTCTTGAAGTTCCAGGTCTCAGGAAGTCTTCCCTGTCGATTTTATCAATTCCTGTTACTATTTTGTACGTAGTGATCATATCACCTCTTTTTCTTCTGTCTTCTAGTTTTGGCATATTTAATGCTTCTAACCTCTCCTCGTAGCTCTTGCCCTTCAGTTCTGGGAGCCACTTAGTAGCATGTCTTTGCACCTTTTCCAGTTTGTTGATGTGCTTCTTAAGATATGGGCACCACACAACAGCTGCATATTCTAGCTTTGGCCTAACAAAAGTCATGAACAATTTCTTTAGTATATCGACATCCATGTATTTAAATGCAATTCTGAAGTTAGAAAGCATTGCATAGGCTCCTTGCACAATATTCTTTATGTGGTCCTCAGGTGATAGTTTTCTATCTAGAACCACTCCTAGATCTCTTTCTTTATCAGAATTCTTTAAAGATTTCTCACATAATATATAGGTTGTGTGGGGTCTATGTTCTCCTATTCAAGTCCTATTCAAATGTCCATAACATGACATTTATTAAAATTAAATTCCATTTGCCAAGTGGTGCTCCATATACTTATTTTGTCCAGGTCTTCTTGAAGGACATGACAATCATCTAAATTTCTTATCCTTCCTATTATCTTAGCATCATCAGCAAACATGTTCATATAATTCTGTATACCAACTGGTAGATCATTTATGTAGACAATAAACATCACTGGTGCAAGAACTGAACCCTGTGGTACACCACTTATGACATTTCTCCATTCCGATACATTGCCTCTGATTACTGCCCTCCTTTTTTTATCAGTCAGAAAATTTTTCATCCATGTTAGAAGCTTACCTGTCACCCCTCCAATATTTTCCAGTTTCCAGAACAACCTCTTATGTGGAACTTTGTCGAAAGTCTTTTTTAGGTCCAGATAGATGCAGTCAACCCAACCATCTCTTTCCTGTAATATCTCTGTGTCTCGATCATAGAAACTGAGTAAATTCAATACACAGGATTTTCCTGATCGAAAACCATTCTGTCTGTCTGATATTATATCATTTCTCTCCAGGTGTTCTACCCATTTAGTTTTGATTAGTTTTTCCAATACTTTCACTATTACACTTGTCAATGATACAGGTCTATAATTGAGGGGGTCTTCCCTGCTGCCACTTTTGTATATTGGAACTATGTTAGCCTGTTTCCACACGTCTGCTACGATACCTGTACACAGGGATGCCTGAAAGATCAGGTGAAGTGGAATGCTGAGCTCAGATGCACATTCTCTCAGAACCCATGGTGAAACGCCATCTGGGCCAGCTGCTTTGTTCTTCCCGAGCTCCTTTAGCATAATTTCCACTTCATCTCTAGACACCTCTATCCGCTCAAATGTTGTTCTCTGGAATTCTTATTGTGTCTGGTTCTCTGAAGATTTCATTTTGTACAAACACACTTTGGAACTTTTCATTTAATGTTTCACACATTTCCTTTTCATTTTCCGTGAATCTGTTTCCCATTTTCAACCTCTGGATATTATCCTTTACCTGCAATTTGTTGTTTATGAATTTGTAGAATAGGCCCGGTTCTGTTTTACATTTATCTGCTATCCCTTTTTCAAAATTTCTTTCTGCCTCTCTCCTTACTGCTGTATAGTTGTTTCTCACATCTTTGTATCGCTGGTATGTTTGGGGGTTTGGCCTCTTCCTATACTGATCCCATTTTTGTGTCTTTTGGTCTCTTGCCCTCTCACAATTTCTGTCGAACCAATCCTGTTTTCTGGCCCTGCATCTCTGTTTTGGTATGAATGTTTGTGTGCCTTCCTCGTATAGTTTTAAAAATTTGGCATACATTTCATTTACTTCCCTGCCTAGCAACAATTCTGCCCAATTACACTCATTAAAAAAAATTCGAAGTTCCCCATAGTTGCCTCTCTTTAAATCGAGTTTATCAACTGTTTCAATGTCCCCATTTTCTTCTAGATGATATCTTAAAGCATATTTTATGTCTAACAGGACGTGATCACTCTTTCCCAAGGGAGGAAGGTACTGGATGTCAAAAATCTCTTCTTCTTTCCTGGTGAATACTAGATCCAGTACTGACGGTATATCTCCTTCCCTCATTCTTGTGGCTTGCTTTGTGTTGATACAAGAATGTCTCCAGAATGAGGTTCACAAATCTGCATGTCCAAAAGTCCTCCGTTCTGGCTTCATAGGCCTCCCAGTCTATTGCTCTAAAGTTGAAGTCCCCCAGTATCAACAGTCGTGATTTATCTTTATCTGCTTGTACAATAATATCTCTCATGACCATTATGAGGCCCTCTCGTTTGTCATCCAGTTCTTCCTTTGTCCATGTGTTGCTTGCTGGTGGGCTGTAGGTATTTACAATTATCAGCTTATCATCCTGATTCCAGACCTGCAATGCCATTATGTCAATATCTCGAGGGTTTTCAAATATTAACTCTTTTACCTTTAGGTGTTTTTTCACCAGTACAGCCACTCCTCCTCCCTTCCTAGTTTTCCTGTCACATCTCCAAACTGAGTAGCCTCTTGGGAATATGACTTCATTTATTATATTTCCTTCAAGTTTCGTCTCTGATAATGCAACAATATCTGGGACCCTAAGCTGGATTATATCTTGCAACTCCAAAGTTTTTGACCTCACTCCATCTATGTTGGTATATACAATTTTCAGGAACATGTTCCCTTTTCCTTTGCTCTTTACTCCCCCTTCCACTACTGATCTTGTTGCTTTGTTTTTATGTACCATTTCACAAGCTTTCCAGTCCCTGTCACTTTGTAAAAAAAAGAATTTCTGTCTTCTTCATTTCTATCCCCATTTAGAGTGTGTAATTACCTAAGTGTAATTACCTAAGTGTAGTTACAGGATGAAAGCTACGCTCGTGGTGTCCCGTCTTCCCAGCACTCTTTGTCATATAACGCTTTGAAACTACTGACGGTCTTGGCCTCCACCACCTTCTCACTTAACTTGTTCCAACCATCTACCACTCTATTTGCGAAGGTGAATTTTCTTATATTTCTTCGGCATCTGTGTTTAGCTAGTTTAAATCTATGACCTCTTGTTCTTGAAGTTCCAGGTCTCAGGAAGTCTTCCCTGTCGATTTTATCAAGTCCTGTTACTATTTTGTACGTAGTGATCATATCACCTCTTTTTCTTCTGTCTTCTAGTTTTGGCATATTTAATGCTTCTAACCTCTCCTCGTAGCGTGTGTGTGTGTGTGTGTGTGTGTGTATAATGAACATATTTAATGTGAACAATAACTTAACGTACAACGAAATAATGGCGTTTACCCTTCATTTCTCCTGTGCTTGTGGGCATCGGCGTAGGTCACCTCCCCTGCCTGACGCATGAAGTCTTTCAGATCCTGCCAATGGTAAATTTAACACACAATTAATCATCACAACAATACAATTATACCACAAGAAACTTTATGACTTATAAGTCCTTATCAAATTAACTCTATGACAACATAGGATGTCTCAATTTTATACTATATACAAAAATTATGAATAGAACCTTCTTGAATTAAAAAAACATAAAAAACCAGTTTGAGGAATTACGAACTCAAAAGCTCAGGTCAAAACAGAAGAATAATCTGAATTTCTAGAATAAGAGCACTAAAAATCTGTATCAAGATTCACACCATAAACATTTAGTCCTATCTTTACGGAAATATATATATATATATATATATATATATATATATATAGTTAAGGAGTGAGCATTTAGTACGCTTTATTCCTGAAATGAAGATACACATGGAACACCACAACAACAACAAAAAGGCATTCACATATTGAAAGAATTATGCCACAATAGTTGCTCTAAAAATGAATGCTGGACTGACAACAATTAATAGAAATTGTCATAATCCCAACTCTAGGAATACTACATACGTTAATAGGCCAATTCAGCAGTCCAGTCAAGTACCCTGATTTACCTGTCCTGGTTTTTGGGGGTCAGTAATTCAAGGGAAATGCGGAGGCGTTACTCAAGGGCGCGAGGTCGCCCGCACCCAGTACCACGAGGCCGACATCTCTCACCACTCGGCCCCGGTAAAGGGCCAGCCCTAAGGTGTTATCAACCCTGGTGGAGGGAGGTGGGGTGTAGGGGGGTGGGGGAGAGGGGGGAGGTGGTACTCCACCCCCTCCACTAGAGCTACCGGTACACACACACAGATGATGCGCAGAGCAGCTACGCCAGCCTCGCTACAAGGCCGTAACGGAAGACGACAGACAGTCAACGAATGAGCTGATTTTGTGTGTGGTCAGGTAAGGAAAGGCTGGCTTGAGCTGGCACTTCTCGCGTGTGTTCCAACTCAGGATGGTCCTAGGATCTGGCCAGCACGACACTGCGCGTCCATCCTCCTCCTCCTTCAAGCCTCAAGCTAGGACCTCGCGTTCTCTCTCTTACGTTGTCTTAAAAAGACATTTTTAGGATTAGCAGCATCTTTAGAAGGCTACTAATGTAGAGTATGTCTAAATGAACCCCACTTAAACATCACTACCTCAAAACTCCTACCAATCTTTTCCAATCCAATGTAAAATGTGTCCTTATCAAATAAATGTGTGTGTGTGTGTATATATTATATATATATATATATATATATATATATATATATATATATATATATATATATATATATAATAATGTAATATATATATATATATATATATATATATATAAACTATTATATATAATTATGTATATATATAATTATATACATTATTATTATATATATAATAATAATGTAATATATATATATATATATATATATATATATATATGTCGTACCTAGTAGCCAGAACGCACTTCTCAGCCGCCTACTATGCAAGGCCCGATTTGCCTAATAAGCCAAGTTTTCCTGAATTAATATATTTTCTCTAATTTTTTTCTTATGAAATGATAAAGCTTCCCATTTCATTATGTATGAGGTTAATTTTTTTTTATTGGAGTTAATATTAATGTAGATATATGACCGAACCTAACCAACCCTACCTAACCTAACCTAACCTATCTTTATAGGTTAGGTTAGGTTAGGTAACCAAAAAAGTTAGGTTAGGTTAGGTTAGGTAGGTTAGGTAGTCGAAAAACAACTAATTCATAAAAACTTGGCTTATTAGGCAATTCGGGCCTTGCATAATAGGCTGAGAAGTGCGTTCTGGCTACTAGGTACGACATATATTATATATATATATATATATATATATATATATATATATATATATATATATATATATATATATATATATATATATATATATATATATATATATATATATATATATATATATGTATGTATGTTGTATATGCAGCCGATGAGGCACAGTAACGTGGCTGAATATGTGACGACTAAACCGCACACCAAAAGATGATGAGACGACGATGTTTCGGTCCCTTCTGAACCATTATCAAGTCAACGATGAAACGTCAACGACTCGTCCTCATCTGGTGTGAATGTGAGTCTTCATATATATATATATATATATATATATATATATATATATATATATATATATATATATATATTCAGCGCTGTTATTGTGACTCATCATCAGAATATATATAGTATATATATATAAAACTGAAAACTCCACACCCCAGAAGTGACTCGAACCCATATGGTTAGGAGCAACGTGCACCTGGTGTACAGGAGACCTTAACCACTCGACCATCACGACCGTTCATGGTCGAGTGCTTAAGGTCTCTTGTACACCAGTTGCACGTTGCTCCTGGCCGTATGGGTTCGAGTCACTTCTGGGGTGTGGAGTTTTCAGTTGCATAAATGCCTGGGGGGGACCATTCAGGCTTGTTCGTATATGTGTATATATATATGTGTATGTGTGTGTATGTGTGTATGTGTATATGTGTGTGTAAATCACAGAAAATAACAAGTGATGAACAATGTCAGACCACAAATGAAGAATTAAGATAGGAAATGCCTTAAGTACTTTCGCATTTAATAATACATATTCAGAAGGTTGGGTATATATATGGTTACATATTTGATTGTTAAAAAAAGTGGACATTAAGAGGAAATAATGGGAAGTTTGTTTCCTTAGAGGCTGTAGATTTCTTCTAACTCGTCCTCCGACGCCGGGCAGGAACCGAGGATGCGGCGGGCATTCATAATATTGATTGATTGATTGATTTTATATAGATATATATATATATATGTCGTACCTAGTAGCGGAACGCACTTCTCGGCCTACTATTCATGGCCCGATTTGCCTAATAAGCCAAGTTTTCATGAATTAATGTTTTTTCGACTACCTAACCTACCTAACCTAACTTTTTCGGCTACCTAACCTAACCTATAAAGATAGGTTAGGTTAGGTTAGGTTGGGTTGGTTAGGTTCGGACATATATCTACGTTAATTTTAACTCCAATAAAAAAATATTGACCTCAATGAAATGGTTAGCTTTATCATTTCGTAAGAAAAAAAATTGAGAAAATATATTAATTCAGGAAAACTTGGCTTATTAGGCAAATCGGGCCTTGCATAGTAGGCTGAGAAGTGCGTTCTGGCTATTAGGTACGACATATATATATATATAATGCAAATCACAAAAAAATTAACACATGATGAACAATGAGAATATCTGACCATCAGGGAAATAAAAGCGCAAATTACTAGAGTGCTTTCGTATTAATCCATACATCTTCAGAAGGAATGTATATTACATCTTCCTGTTACGTTTGAGAACCCCCAAGACAATAATGTGTTCACCTCACCTCATTCCTGCCTATATCCACCACTGGCGTCTAGTATCCAGTCACGACGGGAGACATCTCCCGTCACGCAGGGTGCAGCCGCACCTCCACAGATCTCCAGAATCAGCTCTTGATACTGGTAATGGCTCAAAAGGGCCACCACTTACGGGCTATTCATGCCCGTGCCACCTTTTGGGTGGCTTAATCTTCATCAATCAATCAATCATTCTCCTCGTGGTCAATGTCATATATTGTGTTTGTGATATTATATATATATCTAAGTATAGTTTAGGATAGGCTCCCATATAGTTGGGGCCAGGTTTTCTCTAATACACATGGCATTATATACAACAGCATTCTATTAGTAATTTTCTTTGGGATCTTTTCTACGCAAGTACTGTGTCTCGTACTATCGGGAGGATGAAGAAACACTGTATCACTTAAATCTTTCCACTTTCCATTTTCTATAGCACTTAATCTTTATATTTTCAATTTTTGTATATCACTTAATCTTTCCATTTTCTTTCTATTTTCCATTTTCTTTCCATTTTCCATTTTCTTTCAACGCATGTGTGACAGTAACACAAGTCAAGCCAAACTAATCACCTTTCAATATACTATGACACGAGACGCAGCTTTATCTCAAAAGATACCTGGTTGATGGGGTTCTGGGAGTTCTTCTACTGCCCAAGCCCGGCCTGAGGCCAGGCTAGACTTGTGAGAGTTTGGTCCACCAGGCTGTTGCTTGGAGCGGCCCGCAGGCCCACATATACCTGGTTGATGGGGTTCTGGGAGTTCTTCTACTGCCCAAGCCCGGCCCGAGGCCAGGCTTGACTTGTGAGAGTTTGGTCCACCAGGCTGTTGCTTGGAGCGGCCCACATACCCACCACAGCCTGGCGGATCTGGATCTCCATATCTCAAAAGTTACACATGTCAAATGCACCTAAACTGAAGCTCAAATGACGTAAATATTGATCAACTTCACTCATAAAAACCGGCTAACTATTTAAAAAGATATCCACAAATTACTTAATTTCGGAATTTTATGATAAAAATTACATTTGGTTTGCATCAACAGCTGTATGTATTAAATCAACTAAAAGGGCACCAAATATTGTTTAAAGTTGGCTTCCTTACATGTGAGTGGTTTGCAGACTTAATTCTGTGCAGTGATACAATTTCAGTTCATTGACTCTTAAGAAATCATGCTTACTCATATATCTATCTATATCTATATATATATATATATATATATTCTTTGTATCTTTCTCTCTCTAACTCACTCTTTCTTTCTCTCTCTCTCTCTCTCTAACTCTCTCTCTCTCTAACTCTCTCTCTCTCTCTCTCTCTCTCTCTAACTCTCTCTCTCTCTCTCTCTAACTCTCTCTCTCTCTAACTCTCTCTCTCTCTCTCTCTAACTCTCTCTCTCTCTCTCTAACTCTCTCTCTCTAACTCTCTCTCTCTCTCTAACTCTCTCTCTAACTCTCTCTCTCTATAACTCTCTCTCTCTCTCTCTTTCCAACACACACTTTCTCACTTCGTTAATAACAGCCAAAACTACACTTCGCTACCAGGCTTAGTAGGCAAGGATTATTTTGCCTAACATAATAGTCAACAGTTGCAGTCAAACAATAAAATATTAGTTTGTTTACCTCTGCATAAACTAATCCAAAATTAATGAAACTAACATTACGGAGATTTGACCGGCAACTCGACTGTTTATTAGGCACAACAGCGTCTGGGATCCTCTCGGACGTAGGTTCGAACCCTCGTCACGGCCCTTGTGGATTTTGTTCCTTAGGCACAATATAAAGAAAATTTTTGACACACACTTTCAGCATTTATACTCGAATGGAATTCATTCCTTCGTAATGTCAGTTGAACCGGAAGCTTTTTCCTCCACTGAAAATAATACGAGCATCGTGTGATGCACCTAACATTTTCCCAAATAATTCGCCTAACCTATAGGGAGCCGGTGGCTGAGCGGACAGGACACTGGACGAGTGATCCTGTGGTTCCGGGTTAGATCCCGGGTGCCGGCGAGAAACAATGGGCCCTAATGCCCCTGTTATCTAGCAGTCAATAGGTACCTGGGAGTTAGTCAGCTATCACAGGCTGCTTCCTGGGAGTGTAGGCCTGGTCGAGGACCGGGCTGCGGGGACACTAAGCCCCAAAATCACCTCAAGATAACCTGACAAGCATTTTCTGGGGTCCAAAAGTCATCAAGATTAGTGTCAACAAAATGTATCTAAGAACATATACACAAAAGGATTTTTAGGGCTAAATTACAAACATATAAATACAATTTGTTTTAAACAAAATGACAAATAACTACAGTGAACAACTACAGTAGAGTACGTAGGTTCTGGGAGTAGAGTGCGTAGGTTCTGGGGGTAGAGTGCGTAGGTTCTGGGAGTAGAGTACGTAGGTTCTGGGAGTAGAGTACGTAGGTTCTGGGAGTAGAGTGCGTAGGTTCTGGGAGTAGAGTGCGTAGGTTCTGGGAGTAGAGTGCGTAGGTTCTGGGAGTAGAGTACGTAGGTTCTGGGAGTAGAGTACGTAGGTTCTGGGAGTAGAGTGCGTAGGTTCTGGGAGTAGAGTGCGTAGGTTCTGGGAGTAGAGTACGTAGTAGTAGAGTACGTAGGTTCTGGGAGTAGAGTACGTAGGTTAGGTTCTGGGAGTAGAGTAGGTTCGCAGGTTCTGGGA